ACGGAGCTGCCCAGCATTGTGTGGCTCTGCAAAAGATGGGAGACGTGCAAATGTAAAAATGGTGTGAGAATTACTAACTGGCCCCTGATGCCCTGCAGTACCTGAAAATACTCTTCTTTGGGTCTTCTTGGGGGACATTGCAGGGAGTTCTCATTTTTTCTTGACTTCCTGCATCCTGAAAGGCAGAATTACTTTTGAATGGCTGCATTTTTCTATTGGCCCCAAGTGTCACTTGTAATGGCAGTAGCTGGCAGGAATATAAAATGTTTGGAACACAAACCCTTCTCAGTCCTCAGCAGAGGGAGTATAGTCCTGTGGCATCACGTTTTTCCAATTGGTCAGTACATTTTTACATTTCTGGTAGCTGTTCTTTGCAAATCCTCATTAGTTATTTCATGTGAAACATCAGTAAGTAATAAAAGCAGCATGACTGCAGTCACTTAATTCTACAAAGCTCTTTCTATTTCTTAACAGTCACTGTTTTTCTATGAAAAATTGTTTGGCACTGAAATATTAGACTGTAAATTGCAAGAGGAAGATTAATATATCTTCTATCTTGTCAAGTTTTCTCATTATATCACTAGCACCGAGACCTAAAGCTTAGCTTGTTTTTTTAGGTTTTATACAACTCACAGAAGCTTTGATTTGATGCACACAATTGTATTGTCCCTCTTCTACTTCCCGACTGGTCTTCAATGCAGGTTTGGTTAGATTTATTTAACTGCATGTTAGCAGAATCAACTGTGTATCAAGTGATTACCTTTAATATAGTTACAACACTTCCACAAATAAATAATTGCTAAAATAAGAAGTAGGGCAAAACATGATGAGCACGTTTAAGGAAACAGTGCTGAGTTATGAGTTCTGCCTGAGAAGACAGCAATGCATAAAGGGATTCCCCAAGATTTATATTTGAAAATGTGAACACAAAAGATGAAGGGTTTAGCATCATTTTTACTTTTAGAGGGAATGTCCTTTTGAGGGTTAAGGTGCAAGCTGTTTCTTCATCTCTAGCAGTGGGCTTTGCCTCCCACCCACTAAGAGAAGAAAGTGCCCTGCGACACTGTGTGGACCTTTGGTGAAGTTACCTTTTTCTGTTGCTCTTCAGGAAGCCTTTTCTTGTTCCAGCTTGTGAGACTCTCAGGTAGTCTTGTCAGAGCTGTTATTTCCAGCCTCATTGTCCACTTGTGGTATGTTACCTGAGTGCAGTAACTTACCACAGGTCCCCCCTCCCTGTGCAGTGGGGAACACGTGCCCCCCATCACAGAGACCTTACTGTTTAGCAGAAAGTGGAAAGGGAGACAAAAAGCCCTGTCATAACAAAGGCTTGTGCTGTGTGTGATAACCTTGAGCCCAGGATTTATTTTCTTCTCTGCAAATACATATTTGTAGCTAAAACTATCCTTTCAAGCTTCTCTCATGAGACTGATAATTTCTTGGCATTCCAAGAGAAGGGGGTCACTGGTGTTCAGAGGAGCAGCTGAAGTAGCAGCCTTATACAAAACATAAACACTTTCAGAGTCAGTAAATGAAAGCGATGTACTTTGCTCCAATACTCATCAAACAGAAAGAAGAATCTGTCTCAGCATGCTGTAGGATGATCATTAATTTTTAATAGTGTTAATGTTTATTAGTGACAGATGATTGACTTTAAGTGCCTTATGAATAATAAATAAATGATGTGGATTTTGGGCATCTGCCTTAGATTTGTATGCAAAGCCAGTGGGACTAACCTTCACAGTTTGAGAAGAGTGTAGCTTCAATTCCTCAATGTATGCTGCAACACCGACCGTAAGACTTCTTGGGCTTTATCTCTGATAAACCTGGCAGGCATTTCTGTGCCCTTTCTTAGGGCACTGTGACTGCTCAGGGGCTTCAGGCTGGGAGGGGAGCTCACTGCAGCTCTTTTGGCTAGGGCAGAACTGCTGGAAGGTGCATTATTCACTCTGAGGCTCTGCTGGATTTCATAACACTTAAACACCTGTGTCCATCAAACAGAACGCACAAAATCGCAGCTAGAGCTGCTCTTGACTTTGTAATTTCATTGACTGACAGTTTAATATCTATTTATTTTCACATCTGACTCTGGTATAGACAGGCTGGCATCCTGAATGTCAGGATATTATGCTGACAACTGTGTTTTTTCATTACTATAGGAAAAAAAAAGGATTCTTCATAAGTAAAGAGGTTCTTTTCAGGCTCAGCAACTGTAATAAAGACCAAATTATACTTTATATAAATTTGGTAGTAACAAGTGATAGGTTATGTGTACATATTTATATAGGAACAAGGGCACACAGTTTTCAACTTTCTGGTAATCTGTCTTTTCCATCCTGTGAAATGCCATGTAATCATATTGTTTAAATAGCTGGAACAACTGCCTTTATCACAGGCTCTCATAAGCAGCATGATCTTTGCTTAAATTAGATATTTAAAATTGCTCTCTTATTTTGATCCAGTTTTGCTTGCTTTCTAAACAGAAACAAGTGGCTTACCCCATGTAAATTCTACATATTTGAAATTATTTAAGAGTATGCTTTGAGAAAGGAGAAATGTGTGTGTTCTGGTGCTGATGTTGTGATGTCTGTGCTGATGTTTAGAGAAAGAAGGGTAAACCTGCTTTCATATTGGGCACTGGCCAAATAGCTGATGACTCTGTAATAATCTTCTCCAGATGTTAGGCAGTTAAACCAGACCAAAATGATGTTGCTAACTTATTGTTATTCAGCATTTACTATATAAACAGAAAATTTGTATTTAATTCCACTTTAGTTCAATGGATTGTGATTAATATTGTAATTACCCCAATTCAGAGAACTTTTTAGACCAGACTCTTCTGGGTTTTCTCAGAGCATAGCACACCATACATCAGCCCTAATTATATGGTGTATCTGACTGGGATCTGCCCTGTAATCACATGCCCTAGTGTTCCCTGAACTACTGGGTGTTGTGTCAGCAAGGAGGAGATACAACTGCACTCTGTAAAACATTTCAAGACACTGAAATTAAATTGCATCTTATCTGGGAAAAAAAATAAAATAATTGCTCTCAATACTCACAGCTGTTAGCTGGTCATCAGGTGACAGGAAATCATCTGAACTTGTCTGATTTCTCAGGAGTCGTAGTGTTAAATACTTCCATTAACAAAATGCCTTGCTTATGATTTTTAAAGATTTTTTATTCTGCCTGAGTGCCTTACCTCTGCACTTGCAGGCTGTTTCAGGAGTAGTCAGAGCATCACAGTGTTGCACACATGTAGCCAGGGTACTCTGCTGACAGGATATAGGGCATCCCAGGCTCTTTTGGGTGTGCAGATACTCCCACAGTGGTGCCCCCTACTCCACCACGTCCAGCCTCCCTTACCCAGCCCCGGCTTGGTCCATGCCCCCATCTTCAGCCTGGCCTGCTGCTCTTGAGCACAGGTAGAAATCTAGGCTGGGCTGGCTTTAAGGGTGGAAATCTAGGCTACTCCTGTTGCTGGAGAGACATCAATGCCCACCAGTGGGTTTCTGCATTTCACCTCCCTAAATCACAGCACAGCTTGCACACTTGGAGAGCCTTTGGTGTCACACATCCCTTCAGGAACCTGCTGGAGGTGACAGCACACCTTGCTTTTCCCCACTGTGCACCTGGGACTGGTCATCTCACTGCTCTTGGACACTTCAAAATCCTCAAAAATCAGTCCTCTGGCACATGTTGGGTGCTTTGCTGCTGCCACACTGCACAAATAGAGATGCACAGAGACCCACCTTGGTGGTCAAAGGTAAAGAGAACATAGCGTTTGTACCTTTGGAGTATATAACCATCAGGGTCAGATTTTGCATCACAAAAGCAAAACCGATTTCTGTGCAGCCAATCAAAGGGGCAATATTTTAAGCCCTGGTAAGGGCTTTGTGCTCTGCTTCCATTTACAGCAATGTCAAGAGTATACCAAGGACAAATGGGAATCATGCGTGATCATAATGTTCCTATTTATATACACATAAAATAGAACAGGCTTTTAAAAGCTAATACAATTTTCTATTATAATGATAACCTTAATAACAATATGGTTTCACCACAAAGATATAAACAAATATAATAGAAATTGAGATAATGCTATAAAATGGATGTATTATTTTTGGAATTTGAAGGACACCTGCCAGAAAACATTTACCAACTTGTAACAAACAGCAAATTAAATACAAACTTACCTTCTGCTGTTGCCTGGTTATGGCATATTTACTGTGCAGTTTTCTTATCACTCTGGATTTTAAGATAATTAGTTGTTGTTTTTTAGTGCATAATATCTGACCTAGAATATACGAGGACTCGCTAAACAAATATTGAAATAAGAAAAGAGATAAGACTCTTTTTTAATTCATTGGAAGATGCGAAACTGATAAATAATGTGTGTTTCCACAGTGGAGCCCTACATGAGCTAGATATGCTATGATTATCTCAAGCATTTTATTGAAGTCTTCTATTTAGATTTTGCATGTACTTTGCTGCTAGCTCAATTGAAATGAACCACAGTATCAAAGTAAAAAAATTAAGTTTGTCTCCTTTAATTGCCAATGTTAAAAATATTGTGAATGAAGGAAGAGGTCACCAAAACTCATCCTATGAACATCGTATCCACGTATCTAGAATGTGTTTTTAGAAAATATTACAGATTTTATTTATAAAATTAGTCTTTTTCCTCTTATAATTTGTGCCTTCTATCTTTGCTTCTTTTGGTGAAATCACAGAATACTAAAATTCTCATAAGACATTGGTTTTCTTTGTAGTTTCCATTTTAGTTCTTTATTGATTGTGTATGTGTTCCTTTAATCATTTAGCAGTCTTTTGTCCCATTAATGACCAGTGCTTCCTCTTGCATTATGAAATACCATAACCATGAATGCCAAAGTGGATTGCTGGATGGTGTTTCCTATCATGTGTTACTTTACCATGTCTTATTTATCCACATTCTTGGCACAATGGCAATCTGCTGATTTTCTCTCCTCTTGGCACTGAAGGATGTCCAGGAAAAAGGACCCATCTACCACCAGATCCTGAGGTAGCTGAGTTATAACAGGTCATTGCCAGAGGAGGAAGGTCCCTGGAGTAGAAAATGCAGGGTAAGAAAATGCAGAATTTAAAAAAATCAAGGATGGCTTATGTCTTTGTTGTTGCTGGGTTGTCTGTTCTGTTCGGTTTAAGGGTGTCAGAACTTCCTCTTATGGGTGACAGGCGCAAGAAGGAAGGATAAATGTTTGTTTCTTTTTTTCTCAAGCATGGTTTATGGTTCCAAATACATTTGGAGATGGGCTTGGAGTATGTGGCAGGGGAGGGAGGACCTGGAGGCCAGAAATGTCTCACCAGCGTAGGAAAATTGGGAGCATGGCTCTGCAAAGAGCTGGAAGGGGAGGAGTGCTGAGCTGCTGTGTCTGCTGGGGATCTGGGGCAGTAAGTGGGGTGTCAGGACACAAGGCTGGGGCAGCAGCCAGGGCTCCAGCACACCAAGGCACAGTGTTGCCCTGAGCAGTGGCCTGCTTGTTGCAACATAGGCAGAATCAATACATCTGCCTTTACTTGAGTCCCACTGCCTTTCTCTCCAATAAAGTGTGGGTTATTTTCTGGTGCTCCCAGTTGTCTTGATTTCACAAATTATCAGGGCAACATACCATAGATGTTTTCATTATTATAGAGAACACAGGTATGTAAAATGTCAGTCTGAATGCTTCCTTTGCCTGTATGATGCAGGTTTAAATCTTGAGCAGGGCATGTGATTTCAACCTGCCTTGAGCATAATAAGGAAGTAAGTATTCAGCTATTGAGAAAGGTCCTAATATCATTACAGATAGCCTGAATGTCCAGGCAACATCTGCCTATTATTTGAAATGGTTTTAAAATACTTGGGGGAAAAAAAAGCAACCAAAACCTCACATTCAAGTCACATGGGAAGAATACGAGTTATCATAAAAAAGTGTTATGAGATAATTCTAAATGTCAGTTTAGCATATTTTAGCCTATTGGATCTTTATATAGAGTTGAATAACATCTTTCATGAAGTAAATGTCTTTTTGGTAAACTGAAAGGGACAATAATATTTAAAGGTCAGTTAACATGGAGAGTTGGCTCTAGTTATTATTATTAAAGATCCAGCTGCATTACCTTTACACAACATTACCCCACAAATCCTTATTAAAACTGCAAAAGCAAACCACATCTTTCCTTTTTTCCCCTCCCCACCCCTCCTTCCTGCCACGATCCTTGAGATCCTTGATTCTGCCTTCTCTTTATATGTAAAAATTTCTCTAGTGAATAGCACTGGATGATCCTCACCCTGCTTCTGCCACGCTGCATCCAAAAGAGTCATACATTATAGTTGCTGTCAGTGCTGCCAACCAGAAAAAAACCCTCTCATTTCTACATTACATTTCAGCCTCCCACGTACGACATGAGCTACCCTGCAAACAGTTGTTTAATAGTTTTCAGCTGCTTAGGAAATGGTAGTTGATTTCAAAGGGGTTTTTATTCAGGAAGAAGTTGCAGTAGTGTGTTGTGTGACTGCTACTGCGTTTAATTGGAAGCAGGCAGGCTGTCTGTCTGCCCATCGCACTGCCCACCCAGCCGTGACCAGCTGCTATTAATAGGCTGCACAATGAGATGGTTCACTTATGCACGAGCACCCCCTCCCCAGAAAACTCTCCTGGGGGGATTCTGTCACAGGGTGTGTGTCTCCAAGGGCTGGGGGCTTGGGGGGCTGTGCTGCAGGCTGGCAGCACGGGGTGGGCACAGGGCTCTGTGCCCCTACATGCCATGAGGTGACTGTCCTGGGGGAATGGCTGGGGGCTTCTCCCCACAGCCCTCTGCCAGTGCTCAGGCTGTGCTCTGCTTGGGTGGGTCTCCTCTGTCTCTTAGTCACTACTCACAGCAGTGAGCTGCGAGGCAAGTCTGGTGCATGGGATGGAAGAGTTTGCTCTGTGCTTATGTCTGCATCTGGACGCTTCTCTGGGCTGTGCTCACAGCCCTTTTGTTGCCAAGATGGCCTTGAACAAAGAGAAAGTTAGCTGGTTTTGCTGAGGATCCCCGAGGGGAAGTTGCTGCCAGGGTTTGGTGCTGCAGAGGAGGGTGTTGGCATGAGTGAGGCAGCTGGCCAGAAAATGAAACAGAAGTGGAAAAGCAATGACCAAAATAAGGAGATGGGATCGTGTTTTCTTTTTTCACAGTACTGGATGCAGAGAAACCCAAGTGATTTGGGAGCCCTTTCAGTCAAGGTGGACATAGAGCAGGGTTGGGGCAGGCTGTTACCCTGCTCCTGGGCATGCAGAGGATGAGCAGGGACAGGATGTGCCAGGTCCTGTTCCTGATGGGCAATTTAGATGCAAGCCTCATACCTTAACATATAGAGAGAGTTTAGGTAAAGACATGTGCACTGTGCTGTGTCTGATGGTGGCAGTGTGTGGGGCGGCCTGGTGGCCCTCCCCTTCAGAAATGGAGATGTGTGCCCAGAAACAACAAAGGACAATTGCACAATGTTCAGTTCAGAGTATTTCTCTGTGCTGAACAACCCTACTGAATCCAATATGCAGTTTGTGAAATGGCTTCCATGGAGAGACTGCAAAAGCTGAGTGTCAGATTTTTTATCCTAAGAAACCTCAAAAAAAAAGTGCCACAGTTTCTAATTTCCCAGAAGCAGAAATGTGATGTTGTACAAACAGAATGGTTTGCTGAAAGCTGTGGCTTTGATGAGACAAACCCATGTGTTACCTAATGTCTTGCTACTGCTCAAATGAACATGAGGATTTGAATGATAGTGCAACCATGACCAGGGATTCCAGGGACAGCTGTTGATCAAGGCAGATCACCACTGTGCCTGTAAAATGTTTGCCCAGAATCAGGACAGGTCCTTGGATACAAGTTAGTTACCCAAATTACCTGATGGTGGCATCAGGAAAATCACCTGCTTGGAAAAGGACCCGTAGACCAAGAGTGACTGCTTTCTTACAATGTTGTCCAGGAGCTGATCGTGGCTTTTGGAGAGGGAGGAGGACTTGAGAGCCTCTGGGCATCTCCTCTGCTCCAGCGGGTGCCTTGCTTCCCCAGGAACTGCCTTCACATCAGAGAGTAGTCTGAAAGGTTTGATCTCCTGGACATGCCAGCTTTTGAGGATCAGGTGAGCACAGACAAAGCTCAGCCACAGACAGGCCACTGTCTGGGCCACACAGGTTGTTCAGTGCTCGAGTTGCTAATACCTGTGCTGTGCCATCTCCAGCTCTGCTCCTCCCAGCACTGCACAGCAGCCAGTTCTGGCCCCAGCACGTGCTGCTGTTAGGGCAGCCAGGCTAGCCACAGGCATGCAGGTAGCAACAGCACGGGCTGGGCACGGGGAGGGCAGCTGTGCTGGGGAGTTATTTGCCCTTGGTTACTTTTTGCAACCCATTATGCTTGAGGCTGCAGAGATCCAGAACTAGCACTAGTGGGACACTGCAGAAATATCCCCTTTCCATAGCCATGGGAAGCTCCAGAGTGCCAAATTTTGTGATGCTATTCTAGTAAACAGTAAAAACATAGGGGAGCATTCGGCCTTCTGTTCTCCAGTGTTCTGGGCCCCTTCATAACCTCTACATTCACAGTTACACCCTTGTAAGAAAATGTGCCTTTCTGTTCTTGTTTTGTTTTCAGAGCATCCTAACTTCCTTTCTTTCCTTGTTTCATTTCTGTATGAAAATCCAAACCCACACAAGCACTCAGTTCTCCCTGCTTCTGGTGTCCTTGGTTCCCTCTAAGTGAAAAGCTTTAAAAGGCTATTTTCCCAGCTTAGTATCCACTCCCCTCTTGTGCTGGTTCACTGATGACCTCACTAGTCTAAATGCAGGCTGACGTTCCCCAGGCGCAGGAGAGCAGGACCACACTGCAGCTGTGGGGGTGACAGAAGTGTTGCCTTTCCTCTTTGCAGCTTTGTTGGCTTCCATGGTAGAATCTGCCTCGTTTTCTCCAAGGCTGCTGCAGGCTGTGCAGGTTTGGTGCTGCAGAGCTGGGTGTCTGCAGAAGTGCTCCTACACTTAGTGCCCTCGCTCGCTCGGGGCCTGTGACAGAGGGAGGTTTGGAGCTGGCCATAAGAGATGGACAGGGTGGGAAAGGTGGAGGTGGGACACGTCTGCCTGCTGGGGAGCAAGGCTGGCCACTGCACAGCTCCCATAGCAGGAGGTTTGTGGTGGGGAAGGAGGTGGGGTTACCATCTCTGGGTCTTGGAGGGCTTTTCTTCCTGAGGAAACACAGAAAGCTGAAAGATGATCCACCCGTCCTTTACCCCTCCAATAAACATTCTGCCCTGTGCCCTCTAGATGTGAGAAAGAAAATGTGATTAAAAAGGTAAAATGCTTTTATTTGTGAAATATTAGCTTTGTGTAATATGTATTCAAAAGCAGATACTCATTTAAAGGTTATATTTAATATAGCTCTGCTCCAGTTTTTCTTTTTTATTATTTTCTTATACATCTTTTCACTTTCTAAGGCAATGCTCCAGTGACTACTGCAATATAATAGCTGCTTTCTCTCTCAGTACACAATTTGACAGCATTTATTCTTTCCTTCAGTGAACATAATTACTTCACATATGGAACCTGTGATAGCCTACAGGCATCTGAGAGAAACCAGAATCATACAATCTGTCCCCTTTGTGAGCTTAATTTACATTCACAAGTGTCATTTTAATAGTGCTGGCAACATGTAGGATAAAAATTACAGGTCAGCTGCAGCATGTCACAGGGAACTGTGCTTAAGTCAATAACATGGTATTATTACATTCTGGATAATTTTACAAGGTAGATCTCACAGAAGGAATTTGACCCCTATTTCTTTAGTTTTCTGCCTTTTGGTTTCCTTCATAAGGTAATTCACTTAGAAATGGATGTTGCAAAACTGCAAACATGTTGACAAAGAGGTTAGACTGTAGTAGGCATTTCCAAATCTGAAAGCAACACCTTTCCCTTGCTGTAACTTGTAACAGTGCTTAGAATTACCATGCTCTGGCATATTTAAAAATTTGCACCGTTAATTCTTGAAATTTGTTTCCCTGATCCATGTAATCAAAATACTAGAGGGGCATAGCCTTCTGCCTTCTCATTTCATACAGCTGACAGAAGTTTGAGCTTTCTGCAACTGATTATTTTTTAGCCAGCAAAAGCAGTCTCAGGCTAGGCATTTTACAGACATTTTGTACAAGAAAAATGGTGAGTGTCACAGAGACATGCTGCATACAGACCCATGTGCGATTCATGATTTAATTTATACATTTATAAGACCTAAAAATAATAGCTCATTTTTTATACGGGCATCTGTAATATAGATAAAGGTGCAATAAATAATCTAGTAAACATAAGGTGATTTCTTTTAGTGAAAACTTGTTTTGGGGTAGAGCACTCAATTCAAATATAAAATCAGTCTTAGTTACCATTACCGATTATTTTCTGTTTTTACAAACCCCATAATTTACTGCATTTTAAGCTTTCAGAGTTTGTTTAGGGCTTGTGCATTTTTCCCATAGTACTATGACATCCAGAAAGTCCATGTATACACAGACAAGGCAAATCCAGCCCCAGGTGCTCCCCCTGCACACATACCCACACACATCCATTCCCTGAACCACACAGCCATTTACTCCTCCTGAAATCTGCATCCTGCTCTTGCTGTACACATTTTTACTCATTCGAGAAACTCAAGGGGGAAAACATCTTTTATCTAAGGATTCATTTAGAGCATACTTGAATCCACAGTAAAAAGCATGATAAGTATGATAAACTAACAGCAAGGAACTGGATGCATAAATACCTAGATATAGTGAAGATGCCCACTACTTGAAGACTTGTAACATAGCTGAGGATGAAGCAAAAATGCATATAAACCCCCCAAACAACTGAGATCAAATTCAGGAAAACTACAACTTGAGTACATCACACATTTTTGAGAGTGAAGGTAGTTAGGCACTGGAAAGGACTCCTTTTGAGACAGGTGGAATTCCTATCAAAACTTTGTGTTTTTCTAAAGGACGTGTCCCACTCAGCTGGTGATCTGATGTGGGAAGTCAATTTTTTTTCATGGTCCATGTTTAAGTCCACCCAGGCCTTAAACACACAGCCAACCCCTGAAGTCTAATGTCAGCCTTTACTTGGGAAATACGTATTTGGGGCACTGGGAAAGGTTTTTGTGTAAGTGTCTATTAGTCATGTTCTTCAGAGTCTGGCCTAGGAAAGTGTTTGCATTTCACTCTTTACACTCAGATTGGGAGTCTCTGGTTCTGTTTCAAGCTCTCAGTTGCTGCAAGGGTGTAGGCTGGGAAACAAGAGCCACAAAGGGTAAGCTGGAGGTGTTCATTCCACCTCTGGAGCTCTCCCACACACCCGTCTTAACATAAAAACTTCTGTCACTGAAACACATGACAACATATGTGCAAATATTAATATTTTATGTGCCTGATGACCTGTTGATCAAACTCTTTTACCAGTGGAATAATTGAAACATGACAAGTTTTGTTCTTTGTGAGAATCTTGTGTGAGCTAGAGTTCAGTTGCAGAAAAGTCTCATTTATTCCACTGAAGATGTGCTGGAGTGTCTTGTCTGCCTCTCCTCAGCTTCTGTCTTCTCCCTTCACTGATATTAAGTTTACTATTTGCTTGATTAATGGTTGCCATATCTGGTTTTTCTGTTTTAGAGAAGGAAAAATAAAATAAGAAAAAAAGTGTTTAAAGGGGAGACTTTGCAGACAGAAGCAACCTGTGTGCAAGGCCCTGCCTATGAATGGGGATTACTTCTGCTTCCTAAAAGGTAAGGGTCACAATCAAGTTTTTGGCCTGGTATCCTCTTTTCACAATTGTAGAAGGCATTTGTGCTGATAACTTTTGTGAGAAGAGGCTGAACATGCAGTAGATGAATCCTGTTCTTGGGCCTAGACCTTGAGCCTTTCTCTTTGTCAGTCTGTGGTACTGGGCTCTAGAAGTCCTTTTTCTGTCACCTCGAGTGGACGTTTATTGGTGAGAAAAATTATCTTAAGAGCTGTTAAGGTTTCATCAACATAGTTTGGAAAAACGTTCTGTATTTCATCACCAATGCTTTTGAACAAAAGTAAAGTCTTTGTGGGTTGTTTTCAGGGAAGTTGCCAGGCAACTGGAAGGTTACAGTTTGTAGTCATACCCGGTGGCTTGTGGACACAATCAGTTGGTTTTGCTTTGCAAAGTAAAATAAGAAATTACTATGGTGAGATTGCCCAAAATGGAGTTTTTCCCATATTAGGGAGCAGGTCTGTGCTTGTCTGGGCTGATGGTGCTTGGTTGTGCTGCCTGGTGTCAGCCGGGGCTCGCCGTGTGCTGCGGGCAGTACACAGTGCCCCATTCAGCCCCTCTGCCCCGGTGTGCAGCAGCAGCACAAGGATGATCCAGCAGGAGCCTGCATTAGTGCAGACAGTCCTTCATATTATATTTTCCCAGTGATGGGTAAAGGAGCAAATCTACAGATTGCATGTGTGCTGTTTTAATTTACCACTTAGAGGATGAAGCAGAACAGAGTCTGTGGTTAATATGAATTCTAAAAAGATAATGAGATGTTTTTCCTCCCAGGCTGGCATACAATCTTATTTTCTTTACTCCTCCTCCAAAAAAAAAAAAAAAACCAAAACCCTACCAAGCTCTTGTCTCCTATTTGTTCATAAATACAGTATCAAACACCTCCTCTGTGCCTCTGATGTATGCTCAAAGGCGTGTGCCACTGTGTTGATTCATCTGGAGGATGCCCGGCGTGTGAGTGGCTTGGCACAGTATGGTACAGGAGAGGAATCTGATAGTGAGAAAGGCAGAGGCAACAGCATAATTATGAAGGATTTCTTCCCCTCATACTGCTTCTTGTTATTTATTCTTCTCTCCATGTTTCCCCTGGTTATTTCTCTTCCTGAAATGAAAATAACCTGGCAAGAAAACAATGTTTCCACTCCCATCATTTTTAGGCAAGGAACACCAGGCATGTTTTTTTTTAGCGTTGCTAACTGACGGATGATTATTCACCAATATTTTTTGTTGAAGCAAGCAGGCTTGTTAACTGTGGTGACATTTTTAGTGATGCTATGATATCCCAGTGTCATTGTTGCTTGATTTATCAGTGTCTAAAGGATTATTTTGTTGAAAAACTTACCATGGATCTTGTGTTTAAGGCTGACTTTATACGCGTATGACTCCAAGTGTGTGAATTTGTATGAAAATAAGGAACAGAACTGTTAAGATGCTTCTTCTGTTTTGGGCTTTTGGCTCTGTGTCATAAAATACAAACTGGAGCCTTGAAATTCCATGCTTTAAAATGGCATACTTAAACTGAGAAACACTGTAATTGAGATCAGCTCACCCACAGCCATCCTACAGTTTGCATCTATTTACTCCCCATCGTCTCCAAATTCCTGACTCACCTCTCTTATTCCTATATTTCTACAGGACTATTACTTGCAACCTGTGTCCCCTCCAGCTACAGACACAGGCTATCCTTGCCCTCCCCAGCCTGTTCAGCACCACCTGCTAGCCAGGCACACCTGGATGCGCTGCTGAGCCTCTGGCTTCTGCACATGGGTCTTTGAAGGGTTACAGCCAGTGTGGCCAGAGGAGTGGGATGGCAGTCACATTGGGGAGTCTGTGGGGTCACATTGACTAGGAAGAGGTGAGGATAAGTAGGGATCCCATTCCCTTGAAGAGAGAACACTTGGTGAGAAATCCCTTGGAGCAAAGCATTGTTGAAGAGTTGGGGATGAGAAGCCCGGGAGAATTTCTCTGCTCCAAACGTTTCTTGCACAGGAATGCAAGGGTGCAAGTCTGTGAGCACAGCTTGGTGCAGCCCTGGCAGCTGGAGTCTGAAGCAGTAGGGAGGATAATGTGAGCGCTGGGTATCTGCTTGGAGATGCAGCAGCCACAGACGGTTTGAAAAAACAGAAATTCAAAATTGAAAAGATGCGACCTTGATGCTTTTTAAACTCAGTGACAGCGAATGTGCTTAGATTTCCCGGGAAAAAGAAGCTATTGGAAATTCTGTGTAAATATATGAAAGTCAAAGGAGGTAAAACTTTTTCCTAATTAGGATGATTAAAAAGAAAAGCAGTCTGCAAGTTAAATGTCAGACACAGAACTCCTTTGCTATAGCAGGAGCAGATTTATTCATGGAGTGATGTGTTGGCACCCTGGTTGCTCTGCCTGGGAGAAACCTCTGCACTCCAGGCTGTGTAGTCCAGCTTGGGTTGTACAGCATCACTGGTCAAGACTCTGACATTTCTTGTTCTTCCTTCCTTTCATCCTCCCTCCTAATTTTAGACTGACAAAAACACATGGTTCTCTCAGTCTAACTGTGGCTCAGCTCACCCATTATCTCCAGTTCCCCCAAAACTTTCTGGGAATTTCAGGAGCTTTCCAGCTTTCTGAAGCAGGTCCACAGGGTTTGCTGCATTAAATCCAGAGCACAATGTTAAAGTTACATAGATAGAAGGGACAAATATGCCAATTCTGGATAAGCCTGCAAAATCAGATCAGCTGTCAAAAAATTGTTTTGTCCTGAAGAGAGGTGGCAGAAAGGGAAGGCAGAGCACATTTTAGGGCCACTTGGGAGCCCTTTATATGGGTTCTGGCCATTTAGTCTTCAATAAAACATGAATGCTTACCATAGCAACCACATCAGCCCCCTTTGAGAGAGCCACTGCTTAAATAAACATGGGGGTTCACTGAAGGAAGCCTGACAAACACATGAAGACCTTTTACAGCGCTGTACAAGAAAACAATCTCACTTGAAGAAGCAGACATGTTTTCCCAGGAAGCATGTAAGAGGTATTGCAGAATGCTGCTAGCTTTCCCTGCCTCTGCTACGTGCCTGCTCCTGGCAATTGCTGTTATTGGGGTGCTGCAGGGGGGGACGGTAATGGCAAGGGGTGGGCAGCCCCCACAGCCCGGCTACCTGCACTGCTGGGAGGGCTCACTGCCCAGAATATTTTGGTCCCTTGCCCATTAAAGCTTCTTCCTAAGTCCACACATGCATATTGAGTCACTATTTTTCTGAAACCTTATGCCTAATAGGTACTTTCCTGAAGTGTAGCCTTTTGCTTTAATCCCTGCTTAATCTTACAGAAAGATGCAAACAATTTTGTAGCACCTCTGCCTTGGAAAGTCTCAGGGATGTTCAAAAAACTTTTCTATGGCTTTTTATTCATGTGCCCCAAGAGCAGACTGGGATCCCTCCCCAGCCTGCAGGTTTGGATCTAGTATTAACTAGATCAGCCTTCTGGAAAGAGGATGCTTTGATTTGTAAAACTGGAGAGAAAATGTTTATCTGGGCAGTATTAGATTAGTCACAGATTAATTACAACTGTCAAGTATTATTCATCTGTAATAAGAGTGAATTCTTCACTCAAGATTCATAGCAAAATAACATTATTTTTCAAATAGAAGTAATTTAAATGGAAGTAAGACCTTCTAATACCACCATCTGTACAAGTAAATTACTTTCAGAGTAATTAAATATGCATATCTGGGCTGTGTACTGTACTGATGAACCAAGTTTTATGGAAGCAATATGCTTAAAAATCCCTTAGGTATTAAAGATGAAGAACTCATGGCATTTTGCATTCATATAACCATGAATAAGAAAAAATATTTTTTCTGCTGCATAATTTTGGGGAATATATTTTTATTAACTTTTCCAGGTTAATTAATACTTTTGCCAAATAGCAAATACGATCATCATATTTATTAGTCTGACATTTCACAGGGACTTAAAGCTCTATAAGAAGTTTCAGCATTGTGTGTGTGTGAATTTATGATTGTGACACAGTCACTCATCTTCTGCAGATTCCCAGGAAGCAGAGCAGTGCAGTGAAACCGAAATCATTATGTTGACTGAATTCATTACTGCCGGACTTGTCCCTCCATGAAATAGCACTGCTCAGCCAATTGGGATTCATGGTCACAACCTTTCATGGGATCATCAGGGTTTATAGTCCATAACAAATACAAATACAGACAGGAACAATAACAGTCTGATGCACCTGATCTATTACCCCTCCTTGTGAGACTGTTGTGAGTACCAGAGTAGCGAGTGGCCACATGTTTTCCGCTGTGCAGATGAGTGGCACAGTGGTATAGGAAGCAGAGGCTGTGCCTCAGAACACAGCACTGACAGCATGGTCTTCAGTGACTAACACCCATCTTTGTGCTGGCAACACAATGTTCATGACTGGTGTGTAGGTGTAGGGGAGCTTTGGACATTTGCTGGAAGCCTCTGAACACTGCAGAAATTCTTGGTTAAAGAAATACCTGAAGTCAGTTCTGTGGAGCACTTCAGAAATCTGAAATCCCAGCTCAACTGTTTCAAAGCAGCAAATAGAGCTGTCTACATGCTACCAAAATACAAGAGCAAATTCAAGCATAGATACACCTGTTTGCAAGTCAGCCACTGCATGCTGAATGTGATATGTATTTTATGTCAATATAAACATGCAGAGGTTCCCTGACATCAAGAGATTTAGTCTACCTGCAGCACTTTCAGTTATCTCCTTAGATTAATTGCAGGAGTCTGACAATGGATGGAGGACAATAGACCAATTCTTCCTGCAACCCAAACATGAAAGAAGAAATGATAGCCTGAAACAGAGAAAAGAAATGATGAAAGCTTCATTTCTCTACTCTCAGCCCCGTGCTAATACATGTGAACCAGTATGTTGTGTCAACCCCAAAAAGGGCCCTGCTTATGTGTGTTTTAAATTATATTTTGTGATAGATGGAGGCAGAGTTTATGCAGCCAAGTGGAGAACCATTAGAAATGTTCTAATCTGGCAGGTATTGAAGTTTGGATGACATGAGTTCCCACCTAGTATAAGGCAGTAGTTTGGTGACAGGTTCAACTGCATCCAGTCTAATCATGCACATATATAATGCTGGAGGTAGCCTGCATGGGTTTTCTTAAATTCCCTTTGTGTGCCTTGTCACCTTTGTCTCCTTTCCTATCCCTGAACCTCAGTACATGCCCAGTCTGCAAGCCTCACCTTCTGCAACATACTCTGCTTTCAGCACTTCATTTCCTGTGGCTACCACTGGAAGACAGCATTTTTTTTAGCAGATTTTCTGTGAGGGTTGAGGTTCTGAGGGAACAGAAGTGGGAATTTAGGTGTGAATGTGCTGGGTGAATCCTTGACAAAGGGGCTTTTGGCTCTGTGGGATGGCTCCTATCATGGCTGCATATGAGACTTTCATAGGACTCCTGAGAAGACCTGATTTTCAGGTCAAGGTTTGACCTGTAATAGACAATATATACATAATGCTCATTGCTTTTGGGCAGAAAATTGCTTTTAGGAATTTAGGAATTATAGAAAAAACACAAAAGAAACTGTACATAGTTAAAAAGAAACAATTGAAATGTGACTCAGTTCAGCTTCTGAATGTGGCCACTTTGCCATGTCTAAGTCCATGTTTATGCTAAAATATTCTTAGACTACCATTATTAGCATAATGTAACACATTTCCCAATAAATTGTAAGTGGATCTTCCATGTGTTTGAAAATGACAAGGTAGGACAAGGATATTAAAATAATCTTTTCTTCCTGTGTAACTGTGTCTTGTGTTCAGTATGTCTCCAATTCTCACAGAGGCTGGAGTGTTATTTTCCATACCCTTTCCCCCCCATTTAGCTTCTAGTTACTTAGACAAAATTGAGAGAACTTTTTTACTTGCTGTGCTTTTAAAGCTTTAAAAGCTTTTGCTGAAAAGGTACCTATTTTCTTATCACTTTTTTTTTTCTTTCTTTCTCTAGAAAAGGGCTTAATTTGAAGTTCTTTTTTGGCAGCTGTATTTCATTGTGATACATTATGTCAGGGCACATCAGTCACATGAAGATTCATGGAAAAAAACATACCCTTTTTAGATGTCCCTCTCTGCAGTCCTCTTCAAAACAGTATTTTTTCAAGAAACTCAACAGAAATTATCAACAGTGTTACGATTCTCGAAACATCGCGGGTGTAATGGCTTAGTCTCTCTCAATTCTATAAATGTTACTTAAAGAAGGAATATAAAATTGACTTCATAATTCTAAAAAAAAAAATGACCATTTTCACCTATTAGTGATGTTTACTTTTTAGCATTGAGCAAGGGCTTCTCTTCTTTGTAACCAAGATAATCCTATGCTGTTCCTTATTTTACCATTAAATGAGATACATTCTGAATTCAGATGAAAATGAGGTACCTTGATGAAAGTGGGCTTCAGGTGTCGCACACTAAGCATTGTACATTTCTCTTTGCTCTGATCCTCCAGCACACATAAGATTTCACCTCTTCACCTTTGAACAAGATTGCACTAACTTTGATCTTTTCAATTTTGTTCAACTCCAGGGAAGGAGCAGCTACTTGAAACATGTTACCATTTAGACTTTCAGAGGTTCTTAAAAAAAAAAAGAAAAAAAATGGAGGGGAAAGAAAAAAAAACTTGAAAGCATGAACTAAAAGCTGTAGATTTTTAGGTTTTTATCTTGAGCCTCCGCTTTTGTAGCTAGTGCGTAATGGTTTAATATCAAAAACTGTCTCCACATAGAACAAAACAAAACACAGGTTTTTAAAGCACACAGAATTATTAAATACAAATTTCATTTTAGGTAAGCATTTTTCTGCAGTAGTGATGTAGGTATCCTTTCCCAGGTCAAAGCATAAGCTTTGTGTTCTTGCTCCTTCGCTTATGGCCTAAACCTATTATTTGAGCCTCTGTTCTAGTGTGATATTAATTCATGATACTGACAGTTAATCTATTTTTATAACTGTTATTATCTGAGCAAAATAAGGTTCTTCATTTTCTCTTCAAGTCTGACAGAGCATGTAACAGTGGGGAGCAAAGTTAAAAGTATGATATTTTCAAGAACTTACACGGTTTAGCAATATTCTTAAAATTATTATCACCATGAGCCAATATGGTAGTTATTTTGTCATTATTTCAGTATTATTTGGATTTAGTTGGGGTTTTTTTGGCTATTACAAAACAGATATTCACCCAAATACTTAAGAATTTTAAGTCACAGAGCACTAGTGTACCAGCCCCAGCGTGGCTCTGAAGTCCTAGGAAGTTTAATCAAAATTCTTAATGATTACTAAAAGTTTACATTTTTTCCCCATTGGCACCTCTTTGTTCTTGCCTAATTTACTCAGATGTGCATTATTTCTTCCCTGTCTTCTCTGCTGAGACTGCAGTTGTTTAGGGAGGCTCATGATAAGTAGCTCTTTGTGTCCATCCTCTTGCTTTATTTTGAGATTTGCTTTTCACAACAGTACAAATGGGGACAGTTTTTCCCTTCTTGGATGTGATGCTTATTGAATTTGTTTCCATTAACAAGCTGTTGGAAGCAAGTTAATGCCACATTAATTTACTCTTACATCTGATTTTTCCTGCCTATTCTAAGGGCTGCTTAGACAGCAGATCATCTCCTAAACATCTCATAAAAGGTCTGAATTACACTCCCTGCAAAAGTGGAATTATGATTAATAATTCAAAAGAGTAATTTATATCACACTAAAACATTAAGAACAAAAGAAATAAAGAAGTTGTTGGTATACAGGTGAAATTATTGGCAGAGCTAATTTCTGCAGAGATCCTTGACATGGTTACTTGGAGGGACTAAGCAATACATTACTATTCATGAGCTGTTTATCTACTTTTCTTTTTCTTTGCAGTTTTCTAGGTGTCAGACAATCCTGGATCCAAGAATCTCCAATCACGTTTCTCTGAAACTCTGGTTTCCCTGAAACTTTTAGTTACACTGTGAAGTTACTGGATACATGTTCTGTTCAAGGTATTTGCCTACACTCTTCAAGGGCCTTTGACCTATTGAGAACTGAAGGTTCATAGAAATTTTCATTTGTTACTTTTCATAACTCCTTTTGGCCTGATTTTTTTGAGATTAATCAGATAACTTATTTTGAGATGTACTTGATTTTCTTGCCTTACCATCACATATGCAGTCTGTAGGTGAGTCCCACTTGTAAGCAACTTGTACAGCAGCCAGTGCCTCATGTCACCACTTGACTGCCACCTACTCAAGCATCTCTGTGGGAGGGTTGTGGTAAAGCTGTCTGGACTCTGTGGTCATACAGGACATTGGCAGGTGTAGCAGAAAATTTGGGTTCTCTAATGACGATGGGGTTAGTGCCAGTGTAAAATCAAAGTGGAAAGGTCCTAAAGCAGAAATACTGAAAGAGAGATTACTCACTGCCAGTTCTGGGGACAAAATATGACACCCTGTGAGAACTGATCCTTTTAGTGTTGCCCAGGTATCCAGCACTGCAGTGTGTGGTGAGAAATTGCCTGTGAATGAGACACAGGCTATTGCTTGCAGTCTTCAGGGCCAAGAAAATCCACTCATATCCCAGTGTGTAGTTCCAAGCTCTGTCAGTGTCACAGGAGCAGCCTGTCTGTAGTTTCCTTCTCCAGACAGTTTGCTGCTGCCAGGAAGCACTGACAATTCCAAAGCATGCAAGCAATGAGCATGGCTGACAAACTCAAAGATTTGTGAGGGTTTCAGGTAGATGTCCCTATCCAGGTTTAATGTCATCATTCCATTCCACCTAAATACTTCCATTTTCCTAATTTTTCCAGGAAAAAGGACAAACCCAGATTTTCAATCTGCAAATGAAAGATTTCTCATTGCAGAACAACATGAAATTTTTTAAGCAACACATTTTAATTTTAATTTTCTTGAGTATATGCAGAACAATATTATTGTAGTATTGTAGGAGAACACCTATCTTAAAGAAACCATTGTCTAGATAGATTTTCTTTTAGAGTAGTTGGTGGTTAAAAGCTGTCCTTATTGCACCGAGGAAGTAAAATCCACACTTGTTAGGCTCTTATTTCATCCTCTTTCCTATGGTCTCACCTTTTTGGCCCTGCTAACTTTCATGTCCATAATGAACTCCATTTAGCTTCCCTGCAGCAGGACCTTGTCTTTGTTAATCACTGACCCAGCGGCGTGAAGCTGCATAGGAGAGCAGGTTATTTTTTTTTTTTTCTGGATTTTCTCTACTTCCTTCAGCAGTTGTAACTTCTAAGAAACTACAGAACAAACAAGTATAAAAGATCAGGAAGATGGCCTGAAAAAAATAATGTTTAAAATATGTTTCATTGTACTCAGCTCTCCCATAGCTGCCAGCTACACACTGATGGCTGAAATCTTAGAAGTTAATGAGATTAGGTCTTTGGCAACTGATTGCTTAATGCTGTCTTTCACTGAGTGGTGTCACATTTGGGTTTTTTTTACCTTTTTTATTTTTTCAGTAACTGTACATAAACTTGACATGGAGATAAGCTGAGACCTCATGGCAGAAATCTCATTTGAAACAACTGGAAATTACTTCAGCTTGGCTCAAGCCACAGCACAACAGATACCTTCTCCTCCTCCAGCCCTGCTGTGAGTCAAAGGCATTTTCTGGGCTGCCACTTTCCTGTGCTGAATGACCTTGAGCCTCTTCATGTTGCCCCGTCTTTGCTTGGCTCAGCATGTGCATCCCTTGCTCTTTATAAATACGCCTGCGTGCTCGCCTTTGCTGACTTCCTTCTTCTCCACAGCTGAAGGTATTGGCTCTTTGTCAGGCTTTGAGACTCACATGTTTTAGTTCATAAATGCCTATAGCAATTCTCCATGCTTTTGATAGTGAGGACTCTTTTCACCTTATTAAAATAATGTTGGTATTGTCAAATGCATAGTACTTTCCTACTAGTATGTTTCCTTTCTGCCCATGCTTGCAGAGCGAGGGAAAATTAGGTGAAAAAGCAGAGTAGTAACATTTTATACTTGTTTTGCTGGGACACAAATTTGCAGATTTGTGGAGCGGGGGAGAATCAGCCCACCGTGACTCACAGCACAAACACAGCACAGTTGGAAGAGCCCAGCTTGGGTTGTGTGTATCCTTACTAACAGGGAAAGCTGAAATGCTAATTGACGTCGCAATCTGTTTCAGGTCAGGTAGAGGTCATCAGACCCCTGCAAACACTTAATCCTTCCCATGGAAGCTTTGTGGGATTCCCAAGGATCCTACAAAAATAACCTTTATGTTTGCTTATGTGGAGAATCTCTGCAGGAAGCAGAGCTAGCAGAGCAGTGGTAGAGAGGCATGGGGATGGCAGTGGTGTCAGAGGGATGGTGAGGCTGGGCAGAGTCATCACCCTTTGCTCTTTTTTTCACGTTAAACACCATGAAAATACTCCTGTAAAACAAAGCTGCCACTCTTTGCTACCAATCATCTCTCTCAGATCTTCCTTTTAAAAGGCTGTATCAGCTTTTCCCAGAGATGAGCACTAGGATAGATTCAAGCACAAGCTGAACATAATGGGGTGTAAGATGGAGTAGACACAATACGGAGCATTGTGCAACTTCCAAACCATGTGGTGAACCCAGTCCATACCTTCAGCAAGGTACTCTAGCACATGCATAACCTAAAAGCATGTCTTGCTGGAGTACAGGGGCTGTGTATACACATACATGTGCATGCTGAAGTGTTCTGCTGGGTCGAGGCCAGGATGTTCAGCACTGTGCAGGCTTAGCCCTTCCAGATGTCTCCAAAGATAAAATGCAAAGACAGTGACAGTCAGTCCCAGTTACATGGAACACAACCCAGCTTTTAAAAGGCTACTTTTGATAATTAGGTATTTTGTGTACTGTGGCAAGATGTGAATTGCAAAGCCCCTAATAATAATGTAGTTCAGTCAGGGTAGCCTTGAAATTAGACCCCTAGCGGAGAGGTTGCACTGTATAATGGTAGAACAGTACCATTTGTTTCAACACATTTAGCACTTCAGAATGGGATTTTTTTGTTAAACACCAGATGTTCTAGTGACCCGAGTGCTGACTCTAAAAGAATACACAATAGAATATTGTGTCAAGGTCAATGGCACAAATTAATCTGTATTATCATGCTGTCATATTATACTGTATGCCCCATATGAGGAAGATCTATGGCTAGTTCCTTTTTTACGTGCAACTGTGTGGGGTGTTGCAGTACACAGATTTTGAGTTTCCCAAGCCTTCAAACACCCCTGAAAGAAATCTGATTCCTGCTTTGATAGTTTAAATTGTAAATGTGACATTCTTACAGTGGGTGAGGGCTGTGTGGGTATGTGACTGTAATCTCACAGAACCAGAGAGACACGCAGCAGCACAGTGAGAATTATGTCTGTTAATTGTAAATTCTGCCTTTAAGGACTTCAGAATAATAACCTGGATAGCTTTGTTACCTGCATTTTTCCTTTGACTTGAAAATGTGATAAGGCACAAATGAATAATTGTTTACAAATTTTTAAATGGTAGTTTATCCGCAGTAGATACTTTTGTCTCCATGAGTCCCCCATATCCGTTCTCCCTGCCCCGTGACTTCTAAGCTATTGCTGCAAGATGGCAGGATGTCAATGCCCCCCAAATTGAACCTGTGATTTGTTTTTCTTTGATTTATGGGCTTGTAGTCAATAAACTTTATAAAGGAAAGTATCAGACTGAGCAATCAATCAAAGATAAGCAGATTCTTGTCCTTTAAAAGCATTTCACCCCAGTAAGCAAGGGCCTCATTCATCTTTTACAACCACTCTTGCAGCTTTCAGCTAAGAAAGGACTCGCTGCTGACTACATTCCCTTCTGCTGAAAACTCCCCTGTTCTGAGCTGAGATCTTTAAAATTCATTGCACCAGTACATTTCCTTCCCATGTTATTTGCTATCTCTAAAATGGTAAATTGTTTGCATGTTGTTACTAAAGGTAAATCTCCTTGCTGTGTAGAGAAGAAAAGGCTTATGTTTTAGTGTCAGAGGATGGGCTGTTGTTTTACAGAAACAGTATTCATTTTCTTTGTTATTTTACAAAACAAAACATAAAAAAAAGGTTCCTGTTTGGTTTTTAGTAGTATCTGAATTTCCTTTTGAGTAAGGCAAATGTTATCCTGCATATTTTGCTTCTCTGAAGCACAGATGGTGTGCATATGCAGATTGGTGATTTTTTAATCAAAACAGTGACACTTGGGAATATATGTAAGTATTGTAATAATGCATTAGTCAGGAGTGATGTTGTAACACACTGAGATCATACACATAAATCTAAGACACCATGTCTAGACACCCCAGGGAAGATGGCATGCCATGGGTTAGAGCAAGCATTAAGGAAGTGCAATATTTCAAATATGATGGGAAAATAATGCAATTTGCAGATTTTAATAAAACCATTGGGGAATTAATTTCACTAAGGATACACTCTCTCCAAAAACATCTATGTTTCTACTTTTGCTCTGTAGATAATCAGAAGGTGAGACACTATACCTGCTATCTCAGGCATAAGCACAATACGGTATCTATGAATTGTGCTGTATCTTTAATATGCTGAATATGAAAATAATCCCTTTATAGTGCTTTAGTAGTACGAAACTGCATTATGCAAACAATGCACAGACAGCATAAACCTTGGAGATTCAGAATTTGAAGAGCTTATAAATTAATCTCATAAGCGTTGATTTGGGCATGCTCAGGGAGTGCGCTCAGCTGTAAAACTTGACCGACCTAACCCTCCCAGTTTTAATTATTAGCTTTTTGATTATCAAATATTAAATGAAGAGGTGCAATTTATGACTTTTGCATGTATAATTTTCCTTTCTCTGTAAAGGTTTTCTAAATTTTTTTTTAAAGAATCCTTGCTGTCTTTGGCTGCTTTTGTTGTTTGTTGTTTTGTATAGCTCTTGGCATATAATTTTAATCAGCCAACCGTCTTTTAAATTTTTGCCAGCTGATAACTACTCACAAGCAAGAAACTTGCAGTACTATGCCAGGAATGTTGTGATAAAAATGTCAATTTAAACCTGGCCAAGGATGACAATCATAACTATTTTCAAGTGAGAAACTTGAACAGAATACATAACACAATAGCACTTTTTACTTTCTGCCAGTGCAATACATGCAGGAACTTTAGAAGTTCCCATACCTCACAGTCAAAACCCCACTTAAAAATTGGCTGCATTGGTAGCTCCATCAACCTCATCATCTCTTGTCATCTGAAAGGCTAATAGTAAAACCTTCAGTGTGACTGAACACTTTCAATTAAAATATCACCAACCCAAATGCTGGCTGTAATCAGTCCTATAAATTCTGCAGCTATAGAAGTCAGTAAATGAGAGAACTCAGGTTTTGCCAATGGTCCTGACCAACTGAACTCTGTTTCAGAAAACTAGGTACATATATTAGCATGGAGTAAACCCAAGAAATTCAGTACTTGCCTTCCCTTCACCTGTCTTTTCCTCTCTGGGCTATAAAAGCATTCATCCAGAATCCTTTATAAGGACAATAATCCAGTGAGAAGATATGTTGAAATCAAGACCTGAAACATGATGGACTGGGACGTAAGCGATACTTTGAAGATGTCAGGAGATTCTTGGAAAAGATGAGTTCATGGGGATGGGAACAACATGGTGTGGTTGCAGTGCTGTGAGGCCTCTCTGCATACAGCCCACTTCCTTCTTCAGGAAATTGTAAACCACCACTTATATTCAGCTCTTCCCATTTTTAAAGTTAAATTTTGTCTTCTAGGACATTCAGGAAATGTGAATGGGCCTCAGGGCTTGTGCAGGGGTAGAAATATGTCTGCAAAATAATAATAGTGAGCAGCTTTCATGAATCTCCATGGAGATTTCTTCCCTCTGAGGATCTTTCAAAGTATTTGCCAGTCAGGGCAGAATATCTCTGGTTTTAGGCCAATCTTCCTGTTGCCCTTTGCCTCTTCCCATCGCTGGAGCTACACAATTACTACTAGTGAATATTATATTTATTATATATTTGTTTACACAGTCCTCACTTTTCTTTCTCTTCCCTTCATATTCTCTTACTCTGGAACTTGATATTTGAAGGGCTGTGTTTCCACCAGCACTTCATCTGTGTTAATTATTGCCATCCTTCATATTATGGTATTACATCCTTCATTCTTTGTATTAATGTCTACCCAAACTCTACCCACTTTAGACAGTATCATATAAAAATGCTCTAATTAATTTCAAGATGGTTTTGCTAATATCAGTTCCTGTGAATGAAATGTATTACAGTCAGGTTCAATAATCCTTGCATTTGCTAGAACAGAACCCAAATCCTGGATTCTTCCATTCTGTGGAAGCTACTGTAGTTTACTTTTAGCATTTTCCCCCTGCTAGATGGATCTTTGCTCTATTTCTTGGTACATATGAAGAGGCTCCATGCAGCAGCCCTGGGTCACATACATTTTTGTTTATAACTCCTGGCTTCATCCCACTATGGCTGATCTTCAGCAGCACGCTTGCACTGCTCCTCCTCCTCATGGAGATGCACAGCAGAGAGAATGGGGTGAGGAAGGTGGGCTTACCTTCTCTCCTGGTGCATCTCCACGAGTGGTTTGGATGGAGACATGTACAGATGCAATTGTCCAGCTGTGGGGTGTAACTGGTGCACTGCTGCTCGAGTGGGCTCAGCAGAGCCATGGTTGGGTGTGATGGGGCAGCTCCCAGAGCTCCCTGCTGCACCCCTCGGCCCAGAGGCTGCACAGCCTTCACTGGGCATTAAACCTGGCTGTGGAGAACAACTTGTCATCCTGCAGGAACATCAGATGCTACACAGACCACTTTAACCTTGCTTAACCTTTCACTGTGCTCCTCAGCT